GCACATGCAAGGAAAACTCATTCTGGATTTGTTGTTTACTAAGTCTTGTGTGACCTTGGCGAAGTCTCTGGTCTCCTGTGAGATACAGCCTCGCAGTGACGTGGGGTCTCACATGGCACCATGGTCATCACAATTACATTTGCTCCATCTTGACTCCGTAAGGAGGGCTGACTTTGACCAAATGCAAAATTTTAAAGATATTCAATTTGTGAGTAATTTTTATTTTATTACTAGGGGCCCAGTGCACAAATTCGTGCACCTTGAAAGGAACTGTGGGCTGTGAGGCTGCAGTGGGCACAGGGGTGGGCCTTGGCCCATCCTCCGAACTCCCGCCCATCCCCTCCCGCTGCAGCCCCTGGTTCTCTGTCTGCCAGCAGCCCTGCTCCCGCTGCCGCTGCTCCCACTCACTGATGGTGTGGAGCCATTGGGGCCGGCGCCAGCAGCCGGTGTGAGTGGGGCCAGTGCCTCAGTGGGTGCGAGCGGTGGCTGCTGCCCTGATCGCCCCTCAGGAGCATTGGGAGGTGGAGGAGCCTTCAGGGGCGATTGGGGCCAGCGCCAGGTGCCAGCAGCAGGTACAAGCGGCAGCTCTTGCACCGGCAGCAGCGGGTGCGCATGCTGGGTAGGACCATGGTGCGTGGGAGCAAAGAATTTTCAGTAAGCACCAGAGACTCACCCTTATGACAGCATCCGGCACTCTGCCTTGGCCTGGCGCCCCTGCTCACCTGCTCCACCATCCTGCTGTGGCCGATGCCTGCCATGTTCCGCGTGCTCTCCCTGGTGGTCAGCACATGTCATAGCAGCCATCGTTCGGTTCCGCCATTTGGTCTATTTGCCTTTTATTATATAGGATTATTATTTTAAATCCTCACCTGAGGGTATTTTTCCACTGATTTTTAGAGAGAGTGGTAGAAAGAGGGAAAGATGGAGAGAAATATTGATGTGAGAGAAACACATCGATTGGTTGCCTCCTGCATGTGCCCCAACCAGGGCCTGGGCTGGGGAGAAGACTGCAACCAAAGTACGTGCCCTTGACTGGAATCGAATCTGGGACCCTTCGAATCGAATCGGCCGACCCTCTATCCACTGAGCTAACCGGCTAGGATGTGCGTCATTTTTAACATCTTAAAATTAAATGGAGTCATTGGAGACTTTCAAGTGGACACATTTTCTGGAGTTTGCTCCATATTGCAGTTATCACTCAGATGTTAACTTTGCCAGTTTAGATCTAGAGAAGACTGTCTTGTGGTATTTTCATGTTCTAAAGCAGGGGTTCGCAAACTTTTTCGGTAGAGAGCCAGATAGAGAATATTTTAGGCTCTGTGGGCCAAAGGATCTCTGTTGTC